TTGATTTAAATCTCGTCACAGTGAGTAGAAAAAATGTAAAAGATAAATGTGAAAGGTAAAAACAAATCGATTAAACGGCTTGCTATTTTTTTTTTTGTCAAACTAGTTGCTCTTTTGATTAGTTGTAAAATGTAAAAGATCTTTTTTCTTTATTGATTTTCAACTTAATTAGTTGCTATTTTAAAAACTTTCAATTAACTAACTCATTTAATCAAACAATGCTTCACATGTTTTTTTCTTAAACGTGGGTCTTTTACTTTTTTACAAAAAATTTGGGCTGTAGGCCAACGTTTCTTTAAAATGCTCATAGCCACGACCCTGTCTCCATATCATCTAAGAAAGTCTTGCATCATTGTTGGTGTTCAAATTTTGTTTGCTACATCTCGTTCTGATTTAGAACCATGGTCTGGTTCAAAAATAGAAAGTACAAGTTTCATTGAGAAGAACTTAAAGGAATTAAGGATTTTGAGATGTTGATGTTCTCGATAATGGATAATGATTTTTTTGTTAAATTATACTATTAAGAATATAATTTTAAATTATGAAAATGATTAGATTGATGGTTAGAAAATACATAAATCAAAACCATCAATAAGTTAAGTTTCAAGATTTCTTGCAAGCTCAAGACATTGTTGTAGCTGCTCTAGAAAACAAACTTGAAATTTTATTGCACCAAATCATAGAATGAAAAAAAAAGCAAAATGCCCAAGCCATCCAAAATTTTAGTTTCAAAGTGGAAAACATGTACGATCATCCCAATAGGAAGGGCAATGAACGATATGGGAAAGTCATTAATCTGTCTAAGTTGCTGAAATTGCAGAAGGTGAGAAGAGACAAGCTAGTTTTATTCCATGAAAGGTTGAGTTGAATCCTAAAACATTTTGCATGTCATAACATCCAATCCTTAGGCATTATGCAATGTCATAACAACTTAGAACAAGGAGGAAGCTGCTATTGTTTCTAAGAACTAGCCAGCGATCATTGATCTGTTTTCTTGGTTTGAAGTCGATAAGCTAGCTCACAAAAC